ATCAAATGAAAAACTGACATGGTTTTACAAGCCTTCAGTGGATAATAAAAAAAGGACAATAATATTTACAATAAAAAAGGACTAGAATATTTAATGAGTACAAATTACTAATTTTTTTAAAGGTAAATTACAAATACACCCCCTGAGATTTGATTAAGATACGAATCGCTCCCTGTGATTTTGAAAATTACATTCCACCCCCTGAGATTTTTAATTTCATAACAAATTGCCCATTTTATTAATAAATCATCACGTCAATTAACTATTTTTAATGATGTTAAAAATATGTTTCAATTAATAATTTAAGTAATTTTATTATTGTATAAGAGAGCAATTATAAATTTCGTTTTTTTAGTTAATTCTGTTAAAGAAAAATTCTAATAAGGGGATATTTATAATTTTTTAAATCACAGGAGACAATCTGTATTTTAAACAAATCTCAAGGGTGTATATATGATTTACCCTATTTTTAAATATCATTTCTTCTTAAGTCTCGTATTAAATTCTAAAACTTCATTATTATATGCTATGCAATAGTTTAAACCATTTCATTACTAATACAGATAGTTTAAATAATTGTAAAAATATTTTTTTTAATATAAAAATTACCATTGCGCAATTTTATTTTTTATTTTTATTTTTTAAATTTTATGTTAACCCAACTGAATTGTTCATTTTACAATATTCAAACTCATTTTTTTAGACATATTTTGTGAGTTAAAAAAATCGTGTAAAAACATTTGGGGATAAATCTTGAGTTTTCAATTGTGTCAATTTAAATTCTAATCTTTTGATTAATTTTTAATTTAAATTATTTGTCTATTTTCGTTAAGTAAAAACGGCAAAAAAATAGTATTTTAACCATCAAACTCAATGTAGGTATACATAAAATATTTAAAATATTTTATTAAGTTTACTTATTAAAAATAGGCAAATGTCTTAAATTGAAAATAAATCAAAATTTTAAAACTTAAATTGACAAATTAAAAATTTAAGATTTATTTTATTATAAGACTTAAACTTTAAATTTTTTATTTATTTTTATAATTGTCCCAAAAATTAAAGTGGAATGATTACTCTTACGCTCTCTTTCTCAGCTTTTAGTCTCTTCATGGATGGATGAGTGAGATGAGTTAAAAACTTTACGTAGGACTAGATGGGTTTTTCATGAGGAATCTAACAAATATATTTATAATTGGTTATATTACACTGTATATTTCGAAAAATAATAATCAAAATTACATATCATATTCATTTCACTACTCAGGCCTCGTTTATGAACAGATTATTTTAATAACTTTTTGATTTTTTGGTTAAAATATGAGGTAACAAAAAAACTAATATGTTTGAGATATTTTTTAGTACAAAAAGATGTGTAAAAAGTAGAGAAAAAATAGAATCTTTGACTTTTTGGTATATGTTATAGGCTTTTTAGTTTTTTTAATAACTTTTTAACTTTTAAACTAAACTAGTTACTTGCCAAACGAGGCCTCAGTATTGGATTAAAAAATATACACATATGTGCTAATAATGATAATCACTAAACTATTTTTTATATGGAATATCACTTTCGTTATAACAAAATAATTACAATAAATAGCAACTAATACAATTTACAAAATAACAGAACAACATAATAGGATGCATTTAATTTTGATTTGATAATTTATTATAATCTCTTCATCACAGTGGTGTATAAACAAACATCATAATAATTCTTACCAATATCAATTGAAATCATAATTTACATACTGTATTATATGTACCATATAAAAAATAATTAGTCAACATATGATTCTTAACCAGCCATAGTTTCCAAGCTTAAACTTGACCATGCTAATTTATTATTAAGCATTAAAAAGAAGAAGAAAAAAAAAGGTTGATTGGAAATGACAATATAATCCTCATGTGATTTGTGAACTAAAATATACCGTTAAACATTTTATCTAACTTAATAACAAATATGAAACATGTGGCAGACATAACGGGTTATATGTTCATTTTCAAGTTTCAAATTTTAAGAGGATAAATTACGCATGGAATAAAGTAAAAGGGTCAAAGTGCACTTTATCTTCTAAACAAATGATAAAAATATAGAGGTATTTTAGTCTTTTTTATCAAATCGTTAATGAATCTAATCTAATGGTGCATTTCAATCCACAAACCACAATGAGGTTATATGGTCATTTCCAAACGCAGGGCCAGCCGTGAGATTTATGACGCCTAAGGCGAATTTCGGAAATGAGGGCCCCTCTTACATTGAAAAAAAAAGTTCATGAATAAAACGATAAGTTACAACTTTTTTATTTGTTTGTAGCCACAAAAAAATTTACTTGCACATATAATCATTAAAATTATAAACAAAACAATTGAATGAAACAAAATTAGAGCAAAAAAATTAGGAAAAAATTATTCAATTAAAACTGATAAAGACCTAGGTAAAAAAATTGGGACAAAATTATTTATTCCACTAAAATCTAAAAGATAAAGAAGGTAAAAAAAAAAAAATTAGGGCCCGTATATTGTATGTATTATCCTTATTGGGCCCAAACACTTTTTCTTTTAATATATATTTTTATTTTAATAAATATGGGTCAAACTACACTTATAAATAAATATGGGCTGAACTATGGGCCCAATAAAATATTTTAGGGCCCTATAAATTGATCCTAAAAAAAAACATTGGGCCTATAACATTTTATTAAATTTGGAGGCCCTATTTTTGGGACAAAATTTTGGGGCCTAAGTCACAGGCCTTACTGGCCTTAGGCTAGGGCCGGCCCTGTCCAAATGTTAGAGGTATAAACCGTACATAACTCAAACCACAAGAAATAAAGTGAAGTTGCAAATTTTATAATTTGAAACCTATTTAAGAATATCTATTTATAATTTTGAAAACTATTAATCATGAATACGATATCTTATTTAATTAATATCCAGCTACCATAATTTGAAAATTCATCACATTTACTCTGGAATCAGGAAATTTTATATATTTTAATTTTCAAAATTCTAAGTTCCAAAAGTGGTGAAATTTGGTAGTTACTCAAACATAAAAACAATAAAATTTTACAAATTTTCAGTTTGAAAAACTATTAATCATGAATATGATATCTATACTAATCTATAATGGGAAGCCTCAACTTGGTGTCCACATTTTCTGGAAGTTGCGTCTGGCCTTCCAAATTGCACATTGCCATAGCTATAGACGGATTTGACAGATGGAATTTGATATGATTTTTCCAATTCTTAACACACTGAAGAAAACATTCAACCATTTAGAAAGGAGGACAAATGAAGAAAGTACAAATGATTCATTATGCACTGGATTTCTGCAATTAAAATATAAGTATTCCTTTTATCTTGCGCATCACATTTGCACCCAGATTCGGTTTTACAAACTTTGGAGCCAAACTTGGAAACTAAAATTTTACATTAACCATACTATTTCCACAATTGAAAAACTGTTACACTTCTCAGATTTCAAATTCAATCAGTATGCATATACTATTTCCACTTCTAGTCTTATTTAATCAATGTGTAGATACTGGTTAGAACCAGAATTGGAAAATTCGTCTCCTCAAATTTACTACAGAATCAGCAAATTATATGGGACGTTACTAAGTGTGGTGTCGAAATGAGATTATATATACTCCACATCGCCCAAACATTCTCTGGAAACAACCATCACCGAACCAGCAGCATCCTGATCTTCCTCTGGAAACATACTCTGGAAAATGATGCCCCCTGATCTTCCTCTTCATCATCAGCAGCATCACACCAGGTATTTTATGGGTTTGTGTTTTTCCCTGATCTTCCTCTTCCTCTTCATCATCAGCAGCATCCTGATCTTCCTCTTCCTCTGGAAACATACTCTGGAAACATTCTCTGAAAAAAAACATAATCAGTTGGAGCTTTCAACAACAAAAATTACCAATTCAATTCCCTACATCTAAATTTCAGCCTGAAGTAAAAACTAATGAGCCTCCATAATTCAAGCCACGTATATACGATTCGGCACATTAACAAGATGAATGAAGAAGAAAATATCAAAACAAACAAGAAGGCAAAAGATGAGGGTTTAATAACAATCGTCTCTTGGTTTATGAAGAAAAAATGAAGACAAGGATGGCTAAGGCCAGAGCAGAGGCTCACCTGGGTCTCCTTCAATTAAATTATATACTTTGTGCTATATTGTTGCACTCTCAACATCACTGTCTCTTTGGAAAGGGAAATCATGTTAAATTGATAAGGATTTGTTTTTCCAAATCATCCATCCTAATCCTCCCAATTCTTCCATCTTTCCATGAACCATAGTGGAAATTGGAACACTGCTTAAAATTTCCTTCCTTCTTACTAATCCTACCTAGCTTTGTTCAGATACTTTCTCTGAACAGTTTGAACTATTTTGCTATTGTTTAACCAAACCGTATAACTAATTTTTGTTTAGCACTTTCTTTTTGTTTAATATCTATTATAGTGCCTGATATATTGTTTTTGTTATCTTTTCAAAATTTTTGAATATTACGAGCACTTCTTGTGTTCAACCAACAATATTTAGGAGACAAAATGCCCAAGTTCCGAGCGTGTGGCTAATAGAAGATGTTACACCCACAACACTTAAAGATGATGTTAGTGGTGATGAACATGAGGCGAATGAAATGTTGGTCAACCCCACAGAAATGCCTAATTATAACACCTAGTTTGAATATGATGTTTTAATGTTTTGTTTTGATAGCAATGTATGGGATGGGATGTTTAATTGTTGCAAAGCATTGTTTGTTTTTATTTTTATTTTTTTTGGCACAAAGCATTGCTTGAATATTGGTGTTAAATGTCAACAGGTTCTGTATAATTACTGTAAATTGTTAATAGTTTCATATTAGGTTTGAATCCGATTATCTCCATCTCACATTTGATTTTACAAATCTTCTGAAGGATGGGATACGTATTTCAATGTCAACAAACCACCATCAAATATAAAAGTATCCACTATTCAATGATTATAAATAATTACTCTCTTATTTCAAGTTATACATTATACAATAACCAAACATAATACAAATGAACCTCATAACATAAGTAATCCCAACCCTTAATCTCAGTATTACTAATAATTCATTAATCCCAATACTGTATTATTAAAATCCCTCTCTTTATTCCTAGTTATTAAATATAGAAAAATCAAAGTTCAGTGGGTTCAATTGAACCCACTACTCTATGCATAGCTCTGCCCAAGTCATCAACTATATGGTCGACTAATAGCTACTGAGTCTTGAACAATCTTGACGGAACCTGGAAAGCAAAGAACAATTTTATGAGAGGTCATTATCTCTGCACGCATAAAATAACTGACAGCATAGACAAATTTAATAGGTGCAAACAAACTTGAATGAACATTTCAACGATGATCTTTTAGGGCAACATAGCATCAGAGGTTAGAATTATAACATGTTCAATTTACATCACCACTAACAATAACAAAAAAGCTTTGATAGAATTTAAAACAACATTGTGCACAACTACAAGCATCAATCTAAGACCACCACTAAGCTTTTCATGAGAGTAGATATTGTTATAGACTATGCCTTCAACTTTAGAGAAGGGTTGATTTTCCATGCTTGTTTTGTATTCTACAAACATCCAAAGAGTGAAAACAATTCCATCTACAAAGTCTGTTGCTCAAGGGGAAAGATTACAAAAAAAAAAAAAAAAAAAACACAGAGAGAGAGAGAGAGAGAAGGCGTCAATGTTATTCACTTAACAGAAACAAATACAAACTCATTGTTTATAGATTATTAGTCAATTAGCGGGTCAAGGGGGAAAATAATATAGCTAGCCACCTTGCACTAATTAAGAACATAAATTACTGTTTTGAGAAACTGTACAATGACGTTACATCTCTTTTTCACAATTCAGAATCCAAGCCAGATATGGATTTTGGGAACATGTTACATTTCATCTCAGACAAAGTTTATTAGAGAAAATGCAGTAAAGAGTAGGTCTAGAAGCCGGGGAGAGGGAGGAAAGACTTAGGTTTAGATCAGAGTTTCCAGATCATCTAGCCCGTCCATCATATCAAGACTAAGACCATGCCATGGTGGTTTTTAGACTTGGTATAACCTTGGAAACCCTGAACTCTTTTCAGTCCAGGCTGAATGGCTCAGATGAAAGAACTCTTTTCAGTCCAGGCTGAATGGGTCAGATGAAAAAACCAGAAACTCTATATCATTACCAACCCAATTACTCATTTTGCCCACGACTAAAGCCTTCAGTACCATAATTCAGTTGCAGCTTTATCTCCCATTTCAAAGGCTGTACATGTCTCACAAAGCTTCAATGCATATTGATACCAAGGTTGTTAAAATTGGAATCCTAGGTAGGATCATTGGGAGGGATTTGTGGATCGAATTGTAGAATCGAATTGAGAATCATAAGTTTCTACTTTTAATGTAAAATAAAAGGATAAATTATCTATAATGATAATTTATGTCAAATAATTGTAAAATCACTAAAGAAAAATGATTAATTTGATCTAATGCATCTTTTATGTTATCATAAATTAGAAGAGATGTTTGTAAAAATAATTTATAATCAAATTTCTTATACAGATATACATATATACAAAAATATATAAGAAATAAATAATAAGATTTTTTTTTTTTTGGTAGGATCATAATCATAATAGAATCGGGATCGTAGTGCAATTCTACATGATTTTATGACTAGGATCGTAATCACTTTAAGATCTTACTAAATTTAAGATCCTAGTGCAATCCGGATCGTTTAGGTGGTGGTGGGTGATCCGGATAGGGATTCTGATAACCATGATTGATACACAAGCTACAATATTCATTTGCTTACACATTTTAAAGTTGCACATTTCACATATAAAAATTCCTTTTCCACTGCTGGATTCATGAAAACCTGGCATATAGATATGTTTATGAAGAGCTAAACTATTGGCTGAGGAGAGCGAAAGATATGAAAAAGGAAAGAAGAAAAACATACCTTCAAGTGATGCGGCATTATCTTTATATCAAAAGGTACATGAAGCCATGCCTCGGGTGGATAAAACAGAAAATTCTCTGCCTTACTGGTATACACATCAGCATATTGATGGATGTTATAAGCAAAAGCAGATTCTTGACCTGTGTCAGTGAGGAAAGTGGCTCTGAAAGATCTATTAAACATGTTTTTCATTGCACATCATGCCTTCTGCCTCTCCTCATTTAGCTCCCACAAAAGAGACCGGAAATCTTCACTTCTCTGACTATTAGTAACAGTTGCATGCAATTTACCAAGAAGCTCTTGTATTATATGAAATTTTGCCTGTGTCCACATAGAAATATAGAAACAAGAAAGAACTAAGAAATTCAAAATTAAAAATGGAATTTAAGTCGAATTCTCAACTGAGACAACGATAGAAGTACTGCACCTTTGAATTTGAAACTATTTGTGTGCAACAAGCAAGCCAAATTACCGACAACAGATAAGAAATAAGAAATTCTTTTAACAGCATCATAAATCAAGGTTTAAAAAAAATATAGTAATAATAAAAATAAAATAAAAATAAAACTTATTCAGGTCAATATTATAAAGAAGTCTGTTAATCGAGTTAAACCATAAGCATACTAAAATATATTATATTCCATCATGCACATGTTGGCACAGGCATGCACAAGAACAAGTCAGAGAGAGCGAGAGAGAGTTTCAAGTAGCAGTTCAAAGATTTCTTTCAAAATCAAGTATTTTCTTTGTACCAAGACTGATTTTTTTTAAAGAAAAATAAAAAATAAAAAATAAAAATCGTTATGCAATCTTCAGAAAAAGAAAAGAAGAAATCTATCAAGGCATGCAAGCACCATTCCCTGAACATAAAATAACACTGCCAAAAGCCTATCTCAAGTAGGGTTAATAAAATGTGTATGATCATGCATGTTCAAAACGGTAACTATCCTCGTTCTGTATCTGTATCTCATTCTGCATAATCACCAAGTGAACACATGCAAAAAGGCAGTCTTCAAATATTTGAAAAGACAATTGAATTTTATCAATTAAGAAATTAGGAACCAGATTAAAATAAATAAATAAATAAAAACAGAGGCATTGCGTAACCACACAGGCAAAATTTTCACTGAGCCAACAAAATTTCTTTTAGGGTCAACTGCACCCAATTATATAAACAACTTGTGTTCACTCTCCATAAGGTCATTTGGAATGCGCTAATGTGCCTCTTGAAGTTAAAGCTATTGGTGGTCTACGGCTCATACGAAACTCAAAACTAATGAAATCCTTTGCTTCCACAGTGATGTATTATGTATAGGAGGCAGAAGAGAGTATAAGTCATCTATTTTGTATTGTCCAGTGGCTATGGCTATATTGCATAGATTGTTTCAGTTGCGGAGATTTCTTGGCTTTGGGTTTTCTATAATTTTTGTAGCATTTTGGGTGATTTGATTGGAAAGAAATGCAAGGATTTTTCTACGATAATATCGAGGATTTATTTTTGTTTGTTTGTTTTTATCGGAAAACAAGAGTGAATAAATTATTAATAAAAAATATCAAATGCCATAAGATGGGAACAAGAAGTCCACCATAAAAAGAAAAGAGGAGGAATTGAGCTTTATGGAATAGAATCTATTGTGTCTTCTTTTTGAGTTTCTATATACTATCATCCCCTTTTAAGGAAATTCCTCTGTTTTAATTTATAGAAATTGGAAAGCAGTGTGTGATTTGTAATATTGGTTTTTGTTTTTGTTTTATTTATTTATTTTTTTCATTTTTCACATCTTTTGGCGAACTTCTTGTCATCTGTTTTTCCTTTTTCACTTGTTTCTCTTTTTTAATAAAGTTTATTTTTGTTGTAGATTGACAACAAAAAAAAAAGAAGAAGAAGAAGAAGAAGAAGAAGAAGCAGCAGCTATGCTATGAGTTGTGGAGCACCGTTTTCATCTAAGATAAAAGAAGAGATTTTTAAGATAAGTTGGAGCTGGATGATTTTCTTACGATGTATCTGAACATCGTGAATCATGATTGCAAATTATCCATTTTCAATCCTGAGATTCGTTCAAAGGTTTGTTCAATTCTCTTAGCTCGGGCTCCTATCAAGCTTGGCTTTGCCCATCATAGCAGGGAAGGAAGTCGCTCACTAGTGCACCTCACCTAAGGTTCACATCGCTAGGTCAATTCATGCTTCAACGCATTCTTGCCTCATGTTTTCGACAGTGTTGTGCCAGACATTATTTCCATTAGTAACTCTTCTGAAAACAAAAAAGAAAAAATTAGCATTTTTCTCTTTCAACTTCTATTGAAATAACTTTATGTTCTAATCATGAATATCAATTTTTTAGTGGGCAAAGTACATATATACATATATATAATATATATATATATATTTTTTTTGAATAAATAAACAAACTTTATTAGAAAAGCATCAAGATGATGCAAAGAATACAAAAATTACATAATAATAATAATAATAATAATAAAATAATAATAATATAAAAGATGAAAAAGCCATCAAAAGATAAAATAAATAAATAAAAAGATAAACAGGGATAATAATAAATAATTTTAAAAGATGAAAAGAAAAGATGTTCAGATTAGATTCAGTAATTAGATAAATAGGGATATCTTGTTTACTAGAAGAAGACATAATCAAAGAATCAAGTTTCGAGATCACCTCTTCTCAAATCAATATTCAACATTACAAACCGTCAAAAGTTTCCAAGTACACAACAAAAGTGATTAATTGGTTTTTTGGAAAGTACTGGCAAGAAATGAAAAAACCACTTGTAATTAATGGAATTGAAGACATACTTCTAACTCATGGATGATGGCAGCAGTACGCCACCAAGCTTTTGAAGGCCCTCGCAAGTCACTATATAGATGATCCCCAATATATTAGCTATATTATGGTTTAGGAGGAAAATAAATATTAGCAATTATAAGAAAACACATAACTAAGTTTAATTTAGAGGTACATTTGCAAAAGTGACTGAAATCTTTCAATTATTATCTTGTCCAACAAGCATGTCAAAAATGAATTACCTCTGGACCATTCCGCTTTGTAATTTGGAGGAAGAACTTAAGGCATCCGTGGTAGTATACTCTATCTGGAAGAAATGAATCCACCTTTGAGAAAGCTAAGGTATCCTTCTCTTCATCATAATAGCTACACAAAGTCCCAAAACAAACAATGGAAAAGATAACCAAAAGAATTCATCAGTATAGCATAAAATAACTTCTCTATGGAGTTCAGAAAATAAAGACAAGAAGAGATACGAAAGACAGAATTAAACAAAGTGGAAGAACGCAACGAATGCAAAACAAAATTGCAATCAGGTTCAATATATATTATTATATATTAGAGAGAGAGAGGAGAGAGAGAGAGAGAGAACAATCCCATCCTAGGGGGTAACCCTAGGGTTACACAGAGCACTTAGCTCAACTAATGTCTATATTCTTCAATTTAAAACTAAGTACAATTAAGCTTACATCACCTATTTATAGATTGCGGCCACTAACAGCCCAAGCTAATGGAATACTTAGAAGAAAACTTATGACACTTGAGCATAGGACTCAATTGACATTTAAGATATTTGTTTTACTACATCAGGCAAAAACATTGCAATCAGGTTCAAAATCGAGAGACATAGAACAAAACCCCCAATCTAAGGGTAAACCCTAGAGTTAGAGAGAGAACAAAGCACTTAACTCAATTAATGTCTATATTCTTTAATTTAAAACTATGAGTTAACAAAATTGCAATTAGGTTTAAAATCAAGAGTGAACAAACCCCCCGACCTAGGGGTAACCCCCCTATGGTTAGAGAACCAGAGCACTTAACTCAATTGACTACATCAGGCAACAAAATTGCAATCAGGTTCAAATCAAGAGACATACAACAAAACCCCAATCTAAGGGTAAGCCCTAGAGTTAGAGAGAGAACCAAAGCACTTAACTCATTGATGTCTATATTCTTTAATTTAAAACTATGAGTGAACAAAATTGCAATTAGGTTTAAAATCAAGAGTGAACAAAACCTCCAACCTAGGGGTAACCCCCCTATGGTTAGAGAGAGAACCAGAGCAACTTAGCTCAATTAATGTCTATATTCCTCAATTTAAAACTAAGTACAATTAAGCTTACATCAACTATTTATAGACTAAGACCAATAATAGCCTAAGCTAATGGAATACCTAGTAGAAAGTTTATGACACTTAAGCATAGGACTTAATTTGACATTTAAGATATTTGTTTTATTACATCAGCAACAGTATGAAAAAATAGCTTGAAACTCGAACCAATTTGTTTTCATTATTGGGAGAACAGTTCGTGAGGTACACAATTAGGTTAGGAGAAAAGGCAAGAAAAGTAAGGCAAGGCCTATAGTTTCTACATCAACTATTCCTGTGCAAGACTCGCTGCTGCTTCTTTTTCTTTTTCCTTTTTGGGGTGCAGGTGGGTGGGTGGGCAGGTTGGGGGAGGACTAGTTTATTACACAAACTTCTTTGGATGTCTGACACACAACACTCGCGAAAAGGGTAAGGCTACAAAGAAGCACAGACATTTACATAAAGGAGCTGTGTCCCTTCAGAACATTTCAGAACATGAAACTTCTTGGGCACTGCTAGCCACATCTGCTACTGCTTGGACATGTTCAAAAACTTTACTCTCATGACTTATATCAGCTAGATGTCTTAGCTTGCCGAGAATGCTGTTGTATAATAGAGGGTTGCTATAAGCATCATTGGTGCCTATACACTATCGCTATGTATAAAATGGAGATCTTGTCACTTCTGTGCCTAATGTGTATTATGATTTCCCGTTTACTGAAAATTGAAAATAAGCGGAGAAAGTTTTATAGTCATACGTAACATATGCAAACGGGACTAATCTCAGAGTGCTATCTAGTCACGCACTTCACATGATATTATAAGAGACAGTAAGATTTTTAATTGGTCACAGAAGCACTATGCTTTAATGCGATTACTTAAGCATCTGATGTAAGTTTCGGTTATAAGTTTTTGATAGAGAGAAGACAAGTAGTGTCTTCAGTAGCTCAGATGAGTCGAGCTAGCAGTGCGCCATATATACTTCGTAGTTCAATCATGTATCTGTGAAATGTTCTGAGAAGAGTGGACTATTCATACATTACTGCTGTATCTCAGTCTTTCTAGCTTAAAATTAGCTCATGCTTGTGGGTCTTTCACATCGTGTCTCGTTTTTAAGTGATGTTTAGCCTTTTAGGTGTTTTAATACTCACTTGGATTTTGTGTTCTCAGCACCCTAGGTGTCACTCTGAGTAGATCAACGAGCCTAGCAATATCGCATTCGTTGGAAATTCAAGTTTACTACTCACATACCCAAAGAAAGTGTTTTTGGTATAGACATATACAACAACATAGGTAACCACTCTCTCCTAAAACACTGCTTACTTTTGCCCTTAAACTAGTTGTACACAAATAGAGTGAATTACACACCAAATCGGAGTCAAGATAGGTGATGTGACTGCCCTTACTTCTTGCCCTTTTCTTTCCTTGAAACCTTATTGGTACCTCACGAACTGTCTCCATAATGAAACATTGGTTTCGAGTTTCAAAGCTATTTTTTTCATAACGTTGCTGATGTACTAGAAACAATATCTTAAATGTCAATTAAGTCCTCTGCTTAAGTGTCATAAACTTTCTACTAGGTATTCCATTAGCCTTTTAGCTATTATTGGTCTTAGTCTATAACAGGTGATGTAAGCTTAAATTGTACTTAGTTTTAAAAATTGAGGAATATAGCATTAATTGAGCTAAGTTGCTCTGTTCTCTCCTCTAACCATAGGGGGTTACCCCTAGGTTGGAGGTTTTGTTCACTCTTGATTTGTATACCTAATTGCATATTTTGTTCACTCATAGTTTAATTAAGAATAGTAGACATCAGTTGAGTTAAAGATGCTTGGGTTCTCTTCTCTAACTAGGGCCTTACCCTTAGTAATTGGGGTTTTTGTTGTATGTCTCTTGATTTTTGGACCGATGCAATTTTGTTGCCTTGATGTAGCTTCAAACTTGGAGTTAAGTGCTCTGTGTTTCTCTACCATAGGGAGGGATACCCCTTAGGTCCGGGGTGTTGTTCACTATCTTGCGATTTTAAACCCTAAATTGCAAATTTTGTTAACTCAAGTTTTAAATTAAAGATTTAGACATATGAGTTAAGTGCTTATGGTTTCTTTTCTCTCTACTCCTAGGGTTTACCACTTAATTGGGGTTTTGATTCTATGTCTCGCGATCTTGAACCTGAATGCCCATGTTTTGCTGATGTAGTAAACCACAATATCAATAATGTACATAAAGAAGATATCTAATGTGTAACGTTAGGGTTCTTTATGATCGTGTCCTTAGTTTTCTTGTAATCGTTTTTTTTGCAATTAGCCTTGGGCGTTCTTGTCAAGCCTGCAGTAATCAAATAATCCGTGACACTTGGACATGTAGGTGTACTCATAATTCTTGAAAAATGTACGATATTACCTTTATAAATGTATCCTAAGTTTAAATTTGAAGAAATAGGGGACAGCATTTCAAAGATATTTGCTGAAGCCACTAAAGGTGTCCTTCCCCGTGGCTATAAACCTAGGAGGGTACTACCACGGGGCTCTCGCGCGATGCATGGCATGAAGGTACTGTCGCCTTTCTTCCTAGGCCGCTCATTGCAGTAGGCTCTCTTCTCTCTGTGGTTTGAACCCTGTGAAATTCCCCAGGTTGTCCATACTGGTGCATCATCCTAATTAATCACAATATTGCGCCGTCCTCACTCTCGACATAAGTTCCTGTATATATATTACTAAATTAAGAGCCTGATTGCACTCGAGAACGAAACCTACTCATGCTGTTGTCTATATTCCGCATATCTGTTCGACAGGGAGTTTCCTTCACTTAGCTTTGCTATCAACCTAATATGCTGGTGGTCTTTTCTAATGACTCATTCTTTAGAAAACCCTTGAAACATGTTGTACCAATTATGACTCCCTCTTGTCTTTAATGTTGTTTCAGCCTGAAGACTCCAAAGAATGGAGAACGTTAATAACACGAAACATATAAAGAATCAAGACATTTGACTAATGTTAAAACTTAGTAAATGAGAAGAATTATTCATATCTCATGGTAAATAATGCCCAATCATTAATTTTACCCAGAATGTCAGATTATCATGTTTTGGGGATTCACTATCTGAATTGTACAGCTGTTTCACTTGATTGATAAGAGAGCTGCAAGGAAATCACCATTTAAGACATAACTTAACTACGATACAGGTGGATATCATATTTCTTCCTCAAGTTATAAGGAGGAAGGCATACTACCGTCACGAATAGCCGTTAAAGTGGTTAACCTGCAATCACCCACAAAAGGAACGCGAGATAAATTGGTGCAGCCGTATATGTGTATATTAATTATGTATAATTAGGCATTTGCGTGTAGTCATTGGAACAAAGCTAGGAATATATTTGAAGAAAGTTAAGAGTTTGCAAGAAAATCAACTTCTCTTGGGAAGAGAGATATAACACTTCTCTCGGATGTGTAAAATTTCTGTGTTTATTCGCTTTTAGCAATTCAACATCATAAAGCTCCCTCCGAAGCTCTCTTTTCACCCCAATGATCCTAATTCAATATGTAAAAGACCACTAAGAAACTTAATTTGCAGGTGTTTCCATATAGATCTAACATGAGACATTCAGAAAAGAGTAAGTAAAAGAATCAACCCAAACAAATAAACAAAAAAAAAGGGAAACTAAAATACTTCGCCCCAAATTGGGAGAAAAAGATAAACAAAAACATGGGTACAATATGCTATTGGTATAAGGATACAATTTCAGTTTGCACGCATTGTTATTTTACCTTAAATTCCACTTTAATTCATGTACTTCCAATTTTGATGGTCGCAACCCTATAATTCCGGTCAAATTTCAATGTCAACACCTCTATCACTTCCATTTATGAAGAGGAACAGCTAACAAGCAGACATGGACACATGACATGATTTACACACATACAACACGGACCATTGATAGGAACGATTTT